AAGTGTAAATTTTCCTTTTAATTTTATATTTTCTTATTAGAAAACATGCAATTGAGCTTCAGCAGACCAAAATCACCAATGATGTTTGATTTGATTTCTATTTCTAGCCATCACCCTAATTCCATCATCAATACTATAAATAGGCCAATCCAAAACCCCAAAATCCCATCATTCTTCTCTTCTACAACAACCCATTTTTCATACTCATTCAACAAATATAGTAACCCTTTACAATTCTCTGTTTCATCACCTACCACTTCAGTTCTTGCTCACAAAGTAAGTCTTTTTAATGGTTCTTTTTGCATTGTAGTTGTTGTTTTTGTTCAATTTAGTTTTGTGGGGTTTGATTAAATTTGAATTTTATGAATATCCCATATTAATACTTACTCATTCTGTCATAATGGGTGGTGTGGGTTGGGTTCACAATATGGTATTCAAGAAAGCTAATTTATTTGATGTTGTAGATTAAAAGACTAATCTTTTGAGTAAATTTCAATGTATTGTCACTTTAGTTTATTGGGGGTCTTTCGAATATGTTGTTGTTGTTGTTGTTGTTGTCGTCGTCTTGTTTATTGACTTTGATCTGAAATTATCTGGTTTTGGTACAAATGGATATGTTTTTGCACTTGCTTAGTTTAGGAATTGGTGGGAATAAGCTTCTTATTGTTGGTATGGTGATGAAGATTGTACTTTTGATATGTGTTATATGAGCCAAGGGTCTATTGAAGACAGCCTCTCTACCTCCACGAGGTAGGTAGGGGTAAGGTCTGTATAAACTCAACTCTTTCCTGATCTCACTTGTGTGATTTCATAGGGTATGTTGATAAAGATTGTAATTTGGGGTTGATTTTCTTTTTTTTTTTGGTTTGTTTCAGGGAAGTGAAGTAGAATTTGAGAAAGGGCTAGAAGAGGAGGAAGCAGCAGCAAAAACAGTAGTTGACGCTGCCATGACGATTACTCCAGCGATAAGGATTTCTGACAGAAAACTGATGGTGAAAGACAGAACAATATTAACAAATGTACCCGACAACGTACTCACCACTCCCGGTGCTGCATCAGGTCCATTAGAGGGTGTATTTCTTGGTGCAGAATTTGATCAAGACAACAACCGCCATGTTGTGCCTCTCGGGAAATTACAGGATGTTCGGTTCTTGTCTTGTTTCAGGTTCAAGTTATGGTGGATGGCTCAGAAAATGGGTGATAAGGGAAGTGAAATCCCAATGGAAACACAATTTCTTCTTGTTGAAACAACAGATGGATCTCATCTCGGATCCAACGACAACAAAAATGATGATAATATTGTGTATGCTGTTTTCCTTCCATTAATTGAAGGTTCATTTCGAGCTGTTCTTCAGGGTAATGCTGAAGACGAGCTCGAATTATGCCTTGAAAGTGGCGATAAGGACACTGTTGGATCAGCATTTAATCAAGCAGTTTATATTCATGCTGGCAGTGATCCGTTTATCGTAATCACGGAGGCGATAAGGGCGGTGAAGTTACATCTCAAGACTTTCCGCCAACGGCACGAGAAGAAGCTCCCCAAAATTGTTGATTACTTTGGGTGGTGTACTTGGGATGCTTTTTATCAAGAAGTTACTCAAGAAGGCGTTGAAGCCGGACTCAAAAGTCTTACAGCTGGTGGTATTCCGCCAAAATTCATCATCATCGACGATGGCTGGCAGTCAGTCGGTGGTGATCCAGAAGTTGATAAACCATTGATGAGACTTACAGGATTAAAAGAAAACGAAAAATTTCAGAAGAAAGAAGATCCAACATTGGGGATTAAAAACATTGTGAATATAGCTAAAGAGAAATACGGCCTGAACTATGTGTATGTATGGCACGCAATAACGGGTTATTGGGGCGGAGTCCGACCCGGAGTTAAGGGGATGGAGGAATACGGATCGGTTGTGAAGTACCCAGATATTACAAAAGGAGTGATGGAGAATGAACCGGGATGGAAAACGGATGCAATTGCGGTTCAAGGTTTGGGTTTGGTTAACCCGAAAAGTGCTTATAAGTTTTATAACGAAATGCATAGTTATTTGGCATCAGCTGGAGTGGATGGGTTGAAGGTGGATGTGCAGTGTATACTGGAGACTTTAGGGGGTGGTTTAGGGGGTCGGGTTGAGCTCACTAAACAGTATCATCAAGCTCTTGATGCTTCTGTTGCTCGGAATTTTCCTGATAATGGTTGCATTGCTTGCATGAGCCACAATACTGATGCACTTTACTGGTATGTGCACTTTCTATTTTGGTTAAATATTTTCCATTTTTTATGATGAACATCAAGTCTTTATAACTGAAATTTAGTTTCAAGTGATTCATTTGATGTCAGCATGATCTATATTTCTCATGTTGTCCACTAATATTTTGGTCAGTTTCTTGAAATTTTTGAGATTTTGGAAAGTGAAGGCATGTTATAATATGTAAAGATCTGATTTTTAGAACTGGTGGTGTTTTGGTTATTTTTCATTAAGAATAGAATATTTCTTTAGTCCTCTACAAAGTTAATTGTATTACCATCTAAGTGGTCCTTATTTGGTAAAAGTTCTTATTTTTTCTTTGGTTACTAGCATACAAAGTAGTTTAATGTATAAACATATAGTATTATATTCATGTTGCTTCTGGCTGATCTGATGAGCCAAATGACAAAACACTTCAGATGGCATGGTTTATCCAAAAGTTGCTGGAATGCTTATAAAAATAGTTTTTTGGCAAGTTGATGTAGTGGTGGCCAAGATATTTTTCTGTATTTGATAATTTCAATAACAGATATGGCCCATCTGTGTCTTTTTAGTTTCTCAGTGTCAATCTTTTTAGCCTTTTGAACTTTATACCGACCGCATTTAGTATGTAACTACTGTAAAGATTTGATAAATTGTTTTATGTTGTGTTTTGATCATTACAATGGAACAGTTCAAAGCAGACGGCAGTTGTGAGAGCATCAGATGACTTCTATCCAAGAGATCCAGCTTCGCACACCATTCACATTGCTTGTGTGGCATACAACAGTGTGTTCCTTGGAGAAATTATGCTGCCTGATTGGGACATGTTCCACTCCCTTCATCCAGCAGCCGAGTATCATGGCTCAGCGAGGGCGTTGAGTGGTGGACCTGTCTATGTGAGGTAATAAATTTATGTCCAATGAATATTTGTATGGATCCTTGTTTTGTAACAACAGTAGTATGTGATGATTTGTGTCGAGTTACTAATTTTTTTCCTCTGTTCCAAATGACAGTGATGCACCTGGCAAGCACAACTTTGATGTTCTGAGGAAGCTTGTTCTTCCCGATGGTTCAATTCTTCGTGCTCGTTTGCCTGGTCGACCTACAAAGGACTCCCTTTTCACTGATCCTTCTCGTGATGGTGTTAGGTACGTGATCCATTTTCACCATTGATGCTATTTGTTGAATGTGCAGCTTGGGTGGTCGTTAGTGAAATTTTTGAGCTAGAAGGTTAGTTTGTTTAGAATGGGAAATAGGGATAAAGAAGTGACTTATAATGTTTGTCACCAAAAGAATGTGCATGATATTCCTCTATTTCATTCTTTTTTTTTAAAAAAAAATATGGTTAAGCTGTGGCTGATAATAGAAAGTGAACTGTTTTGTTAATATGATTGCAAATAGTGAGGGTTGTGTCTAACAAACATAATGACGTTTTCAGCCTTTTGAAGATATGGAACATGAACAAATACACTGGTGTTCTTGGAATATACAACTGCCAAGGTGCTGCGTGGAGCACGGTTGAGAGGAAGACCACATTCCACAAAACCAACTCAGAGGCGATAACAGGCTATATCAGGGGCTGTGATGTCCATTTCATATCTGAAGCTGCCTTGGACCCCAACTGGAGTGGAGACACAGTTCTTTACTCTCATGGAAGTGCTGAGCTTGTTGTTCTCCCGTATAATGCAGCAATGCCTGTTTCTTTTAAGATCCTTGAGCACGAGACATACACTGTCACGCCTATTAAGGTCTTGGCTCCTGGCTTCAGCTTTGCACCTTTGGGGCTTATTGATATGTACAATGCTGGTGGGGCAATTGAAGGACTAAAATACGAGGTGAAGGCAGGCGCAGAATTGTCTGAACTCGAGGCTGGATATCAAGGTGAAGGAAATCTTGTGGCTGAAGATAAAATTGAGAACTTGAGCACAGAAGCAGTTGCAGTAGTGTCGATGGAAGTAAGGGGATGTGGCCGATTTGGTGTTTACTCATCTGTCAAGCCGAGGAAGTGCAGTGTGGGTGGAGATATGGTTGATTTTGCCTATAACTCAGAATCTGGTTTGTTAACTTTGAATCTTGATGCTATGCCTCCAGCAGATCAGAAAGTGCACATCATTGAAGTTGAAGTATAGATATTAGAAGGGAAGACATTATTTGACTTTGATTATTAAGAAGGGTATTTTTTGGGGACTCAAAAAGGTGGGATTGAGACTTAGATTTATGGTATAACTTCTCCGGTCCTGCTAACGCGAGATGCTTTGTGCCTTACTAGATTATGATCCATAGTATGTGTCCCCACTTATTTGTATCACCATTGAATAGTTAAACTCCATTTGCTTTTCATGGAATGAAGGTATGGTAGAAGTTGATGATCTAAGAGAAGGAATTTAATGTGGAATATGGTTATCCTTCAATAATGTAATTATGATTGTGTTTGACAATATTTTCATTCTCTTGTTATGTTTGGGCCAACTTGTGCAAAGCAGTGATTGTAGTAATCATCTTTCCACTTATTTCCTATTTTAGACACTTCTTAGATTACCTTATAAAATACTAACAAATGAATCTCTATGAGAAATCATTCATTGGTAACAAAAACTAAAACATCTTACATGTTGAATCAAACTGTAGGTACACATAAAAATATAACAAGTGCAGTTCGATATCCTTGTTGTATCAAAACTGAAGCGTTGTATACATAACGCTACCTAAACTCCACTGGTGAGATCACACTCTGTATATTGTTGGATAAAAAACTGAATTAGTGAAGGGAAATTTGGAGAAATAAAAAGAGCAATTTTTTATCTGTCTAAGTCCCATTTCTAGAGAATGTACATTGTAAGAAGACTGTATTCTTTCATTCACCCAAAAAGCACTTACAATCATACTTGTGATTTACAGCTAGATCTCCCAAGATTTTGCCCATTTTTACAACTACAAAATTGTTTATAGCTGCAAAAGAAGCCATTTCCCTTTTGCAAAAACTCATTGGTGTCAATTGAGGGGTCTGTGGACTTCTGTTGGAGCTTTTGGTCTACCCTTCTTTCAGTTTAATAATTCCACTGATGGTCTTCTGGCCTAAAAAGGACTCCCTATTCTTCGAAGTCAGAGTCGTACTGTGCAGACAATAACACTTCTTCAAGTTCCTTACTGAAGTCTTCATTGTCATCCTGCTCTTCAGCTACTTCTTGTTGGGACTTATCCTGCTCTTCAGCCACTTCTTGTTGGGACTTATCATGCTCTTCAGCCACTTTTTGTTGGGACTTATCATGCTCTCCTCCAACAACGTCAACTGAGTCTTTTTTCACAGGCTGATGAAGAATGCCTGTTTTTTGATAAAATAGTTCCTTCTGAACTTTCCAGTCATCAGCAGTCTTCCCGACCACGTCTCCTATCAATGTCTGGTTTTCTGCTATGTGCTTTATACTTTCTACATCCACAATGCCACTAGCCTCTTTAAGGAAAAAAACAAGAAAACAAGTGAAAAGATGTCCTCTTTGACTTTAGTAAAGGGGGAGCTGAAACCTAGGATGCAAAAGAAACTTGTGGAATTTATGCATGCCCAATCCCCTGAATCTTGAAACTAAGCTCAAACTTGGGAGGAAATTTTTAGACTGCCTATACACTATCTGAACAATATTTCACTGAACGAATTCAGGTAGCTTCACCGCATAAACGTATTCACAGTTACTTCAGTATGTACACAATGCATTATTTTCACTGTTATTGAATACTAAATATCCTTACTTAGCACATCAATAGTGCTGACCACAAATACAAAATGATCAACTGACCAAGATATATTTCCGTGAAAAACTTAAGAAGCTACCTTTAATACTGACTATGCCTTGACACAAAATATTGCAGACCACATATAAAATAGCCAAATTATATATCCGATAAAAGCTTAAGAAGCTCATTGAGTTGCCTTTAATACTAAATACGCCGTACTCGCACATCATAGTGCTGACAATACATAGAAAATCACCAAAATATGTGTTCCTTTAAAAGCTTTAAGCTCAAAGAAATACCTTTAATAGCTAGATCTTTCGCCCTTGCATAATCTGCTGACTTTTGCTTGAGCATATCCACCTCAAGCTCCAATCCCTAGGAAATATGGGAATATGAATTTAGCATTCTTAAGTCAAAGATGGAGACATGCAATAGCAGGTTAAGTCACAAGAGACCTGATGAAAGGATTAGCACAACTAATGCAGCCTCCCACCTAGCTAACTTGCTACACTGATCAACTCAAACATTCAAATAATCCAATTAACGGAAAGAATGCCCACATGTCCAATAATCCTCTAACAATATATTTGATTTCGCGTCATTTAAAGCTTAAAACCCTCCATTTGAGTTTATCTCATAAACAGGAAACTAGTAAAGGGAAGAAACATAAATAACACTTGCATGTGATTCTGAAGATACTTGCAAAATTATATCTTTAAAAAAACACAGAAACACCGTCACAACAGCAGAAACAATATCCTATTCCAGCAAACACAACTGGTTCACATTTTGGAAGGGAGCAATTCCAACCAAATTAAAGTCACAAGTTTTAAAAAGTCGATTGCTCTAAATTAACTAAATATTACTTGTATTTTTTATTTTGACGAAGTTGTCACCTGATTATTTTCTTGCAATCAATAGAAGTACAGGTCTACCAAATATTTCCATCAAAATGGTGCTTGAGTTCAATGAATCCTTGTAACTAGCCACATCAATCCATATGAACACTGTATGCAAAAGTACAGAGCTGGAAGTATATTCTAGAAATCAAACATACCATATCCATGTGGGTGAAATGCTCGATCCGGCTATTTGCAAATAACCTACATCATCAAAGGAAACAAGATGAGGGAAGGTTTAGAGTAGATTGTGAAATAACAAGCTGTAGCAGGAAAAGTATCAGTAACATACTTTTTGCATGCTATTTGGATACTTGCATTTTGTACTTCTGAAAGTTCATCTAGTCTCTCCGCTGCAGAGCTTTCATTCACATCCACAAACCCAAAAAGAAACATGTTCCTATCAAACATACGCTTGACTACAGCAGGGACTACCTTAACATCTTTGGCCTTTGCTTCAGCGACAACGTTCCTAAGATTCTTTAACTCTCCTGTCAAATGGAATTGATGAAATATCGTCAAATCATAGCAAGATAAGTGCATCAAAAGCACGTGAGAGTTGCACAAAGAACTAAATTCGTAACCTAACACTAGAAAATTGGTAAACAGAAAATACTAGACGAAGTACCAGATTCAAATCTCCACGTACCAATATAAAAGGAATCCACAGACGTTAATCAGATGGTATACATCCTAAGTGGAACTAAGCCAGAAGGAACAAGAAATTTCAGACTAATATAGCACTATGGTCCAATGGTTTGCTGGAGCACTATTGATCAGCTGTTTAGAATGTCTCCCAGACAGAAATTTCTCTCTCTGATTTGGAACTCCAAGATAAGGTGAACCAGTCTAGAAGTGTGAACTATAATGCATATTGAATCTGCAGATAATAGTTCAAAACTTATAATGTTCATTGGGGTATTTATGATGCTGAAGATGCAACGACTTCTCATGAATATAGAACTGCCATAAGGTAATTTGAGAAATGAGAGAAAAAGAGAGGAGGAGATCATTTGGTATCCAAGGATTTTTTTTGTAAGAAGTCCTACTGATTATTGTTCTTTAAATAAAACACAACATGTCCTTCAAATGAAATTGAAACTTACACCTAAGAACTTTTTCGCAAAACTATAGTATAAGCTAATATTGTGATTGGTGGTCTCAGTAACACCAACTTATTCATCATCTATATATTCCTTGAATTTTGGGTTTTAACTATTACTATGAATCACTGAGAAAACTGAATACAGTATTGACCCACCTGTGGTTACAGGTTAATGTCCCAAACCTAAGCCAAGAAAAGTTCTAACATCAGTCGAAGCAACAATTGCGGACACCTATTAGTGGTCAAAATCCATTTCACATAGCCTGCAAAATATAGAAACATGATAGTCCAGTTACATGTTTGGAGAACTCTCCTAAAGCAACCTACGTATAGTATGAGTAATAAAACTATGAATCAACATCCTCACTAGAACAATTTACTATGCCAATGATCTAGAAGATCTACGGAAAATAAATGTACATTTTACTTCCCAATTGATCTGATCTAAAGCATAAATTGTGTTAAATCAGTTTCCATGTTCCATGATACATTTTAAAACAGAAATCTAGGAAGTATCCATGATGACATATGCTCTAGACAATGCCATAAAAAAATTAGGAGATTTGCATCTGCATTTCAAGTCTGAAAGCATGTAGTTCGAACATATTGGATTCGGAAATTTGGCCAAAGAATTGTAGAATTCTTTCAACATTATTGGCAGGCTAGATTTCATCTTTTGCAAAGAAACTCTAATTATTGAAAGTTAAGCTCAAGGAATGGAACATGACTTCTTTTGTACAATTGGAAAATAGAAAATTCTTCATCCTTAACAGGATTATAAAATCAAACCAGAATCCGACAATTCTCCCCCTTTGGATGAGCATCAAATGTCAAAGGTGCACAATCAGATTGAGCTGGAGAAGATTTTCAGATTGGAAGTGATCTCAAGGCGACCAAATCGAGGTGTTTATGGTTGAACAAGGGGATCATAACACTAGCATCTTTCATAACATGGCAAATACTCGTAGAAGATTTAGCCATATTGACAAGCTAGATATGAATGGGACTATTACAGAAGACAGGGATGTGATTGCTCATCAGATTCTTCCTTTATATTAGGCACAAAGGATGAAGTTTCTTATATTTCCAGTAATCAAGCTGACTAACAGCTGCAAAAATATTCTCTTGAAGAGAAGATTCTTGGTGTTATTAAGAGCCAGATGGTTTCTCCATGGGTTGCTACAAATACTGTTGGTATACAGTTAAAGAAGACTTGATGTGGGCTATAATTTCCACGATCTGGAACATTTCCATGATCTGGAACATTTTGAGAAAAGCTTAAATTCGTCTTTTATTGCTCTCATCCCAAAGAAGTGACCTAGCAGTTCGATAGATATTATTTATAAGATTATATCTAATGCTCTTATGAACATATTAAAAGTTGTACTTCCTAAGTTGATCAATAGTTCTCAGGTGGGTTTCTTAAGTGACAGAAATATCACTGATGCAGCCTGGATAGCTAACAAATGTTTGGACTCAAGGACGAAAATTGGAAAACTTGGAATTCTTGAAAATTGGATACTAAGAAAGCACTTGGATCATGTTAATGGGAAGTTCAAGCTGGATTTATTGAGATAAATGGGTGTCAGTATCAAATGGATCATTAGATTAGTTTATATTTCATCAGTGAAGTTCTGCATTCTCATAAATGGTGCAGGACATGGTTTTTACTCTAGTCAAAGAGGTTTGAGACAAGAAGACCCTTTATCTCCTTTCCTCTTTGTTTTGGTGATGGGGAATGATGGAGGGACTCAGTAAGATGACTCACAATATGGCTCAAGCAAATTGAATTTCTAGTTTCTCTTGGGGGTCCTGAAGGTTTGAAAACCTCTCATATTCTTTATGCAGACGACAGAAATCTTCTATGAAGCCAAGGAACAGCAACTTATGTTCTTGAGGATGTTTCTAACAATTTTTAGGCTGTTTCAGGCCTTGGTATTGATTTTGCCAGATACTACATATTCCCGGTCAGCAATGTTTCTGATATTGACAGTTTGGTGTATCTTACGATGCAACATTAGATCTATCCCTACAAAGTATTTGGCACTTCCTTTGGGAAAAAATACAATTCAGCGGCCATTTGGAATGAGGCTCTCGGAAAGATGGAGAAAAATTATCCAACTGGAAACGACAATAATTTTCAATGGGTGGAAGTGTCACTCTAATCTACAGAGTTCTGAATGCTCTTCCCACTTGAACAATATCGCTATTTCCTGCTCCTACTTCAGTCTTAAAGCGCATGGACAAAATTACAAGGGATTTTCTGTGGAAATGAAATAAACAGTCCAAGTCTTTTTCCAAATAAAATGGAACTGTGTCACCAGAGATAAGAACAATGGCAGTTTTAGCATTAAGAACCTAAAACTTCATAATGTTAGTCTCTTGACCAAATAGCACTGGGAGGTTTAACAGGGAAGAGAGCACACTTTTGTAGAGGACTCTAGTTGATAAGTTCTCACTAGATGGTTTTGGCATACCAAAGTATCAAATGTCCCTCATGGAGTCCGGAAGCATATTCAAACACATAAGAGTCTCTTTGAAACAAATGAAGCTTTCTGGTAGGTTGTAGCAGAAGCTTTAGATTTGGGGAAAATGCTGATTTTTTTATGAACATAGTTAGAATCTTTTTCTCCAACAAAGTTTAAATGATCAGGAAATATAAAGTGCATGCTCTCTTTTGAATCTACTTGGCACCATAACAAAAGGATGATACTTTCAAATGGAAACTTTTCAGTGAAGTCATGCTACAAATTGTGAAAAAATGGTCATACCACTTCTTGGGGCTGGAGGAAATTTGGCACAAAGAAGCAAGTAAGCAACCTTCGAAGGTATCTTGCTTCTCTTGGTTGGTGGTTGAAGAAGCATGTCTCACTCAATCAAATCTTGAGAGGAGGAATACAACTATGTAGCAGATGTCCCCTTTGCAAAGAGACTCCTGAAGTGGCATGCCACTTATTTTTCCACCACAAGATACTCACCAAATTCAAAGATGTTCTTTGCAATTTTTAACATGAAAGCACAGTGCCCCACTCTATTCTAGAATTTCTGCATAGCTGGAAGAGAGTTGGGCTCAACAAGAAGGCACACAATTTGGAACACATAGACCTTAGGTCATTTGGTGGATAATTTGGATAGAATGACACAACAGAATTTTTGAAGGCAAAAGGAGGAATATACGTAGGCTTAAACTTAAGACATTTTCTTGTTAGCTTTCTGGTGCAACTTGGCTATGTAAATGATGTTGATTCCTTGTTAGGTATATCGGGGAGCTGCACAATATGTAAATCTTGATACACTTTCTTAGTCCCCTCCTTTCCATTTATAAAATTCACCATTACTTATTAAATGAAAGAGATTAACAATTAATGGAACAACTGAATAAGAATTGGATCTAATGTTTTTTAATTAAGATTTTCATGTGATATTAACTTTTCTCATCTCATTAGACCAATCTTGCACCACAAAGAGAGAATCATCATATATGCAGAACAATTTCATGTCATATCATGTTAAGAAGATATTATTTATACCCATAGATAAATAAATCTTGAAAGGAGGCTTGAATGGCTGTGTCTCATAGAGGCAATATAGGCAATATAGTCCACCCAGTCTACTCAAAAGAGAATTAGTAGACACCATATAACCTGCAATACATTACATTTGGTTAATCTGCTGAAAGAAAATGTCAGTCAAGATGAAAATCCTATTGTATGATGACTGCTCCTTCCGCCAAAATTTTAAGAGAAAAACAAAGGCTTTTCTTAGAAGTGTAATGACTTTACACTTCCTTTTTTTTAAGAGGGAATGAATGTCAGCATAAATTGAAAATGATTTGGAGTTTAAGGTTTCTCTATATTTCTGTATGTTTTATGATATGGCTCTTAGTTCGTGTTCTCCACATTCTTACTCATTGACTGATAGAACAAGTGGAATTTGGTTAAAATAGCACATGAAATGTTCCATAGTAGCAATCAAATAAATCTATGACCATTTGTATTTGTAATACGAAACCACATATATCAAATAAATAAATAAAGAAAACGGTGTTCCCTTCATGAAATTGATTTGAGTTCTACTTGAGAGAAAAAGGCATAGTCATTGCAAATCGATTGGTACTTCTATGCTATATAAAATTTTAACAGTCCTCTAGTGTGCACCTCATGATGGTCGTATTTCACATTAAAGTAAGAGAAGATTACATATCCGGTTGGTCACTCTTTCTTTTGTTTGGTGTGCAGTAGATGCTAATACGTCATACATTTTAGTATGCCATAGTAATCAGAATCATTCTCTCCGGAAGAAACTAAAAATATGTTACATTAGGTAAACCAACAGAGTCTAGAATGGAAAAAATTAACATACCAATGCAGTAAGCATAGAGTGATTGTATAAAGCATGCTTGATCTTTAGGGGGACTAGCCTCGAAAATATAGGAGAACTTTTTAGAAACCCACACTCTCTTCATTTCTGCAAAAGTAGGAGATCCACCCTACAAAATAACCATATTATCAGTATGAACAATCATGAGAAGTGCAGGATAAACAAATAGAGATTGATATCTACTGTATACTTAAACTAAAGACAACACGCATAAACAAGTTAGTAGTACCTTGGCAAACTCATTTATAAGCTCGTCAATGTCTAATTTGAATAGTTTAAGGTCCATATTGCAAACCTTGACTTCTCTTTATGGCCTACAAGAAGAAATTTCTTGATTAGATTGCTTCAAAGAACATAGGAACTATAAATGCAATATCATTACAGCTAGAAAATATGATGATTAAAAACATACAATAAAACGCATAACAGACCTCTGTGCGGTAAGATTGTCTGGTTCATTGGTAAAGTAAATCAACATAATTGCAGGTTCATGGAGCAATAACTTAACAATTTAAACATATCTGTTTGGGTAATTTACTTGTTAAATATGATTGTTGGTTCATTCAAGAAATAGTTAGTGTGAATCATACTTTTCAAGTAACAATAAATTATTCCAGTAACGCTAAGCATATAAAGTAATTGTAAGGGCATCTCAAAAATGGTAAGAATATTTGAAGTACAGGTTCGATGCAGATCATCAATATAGTTAAAATTGTTCCAATAAGATGCAAATTCTCACTTGCAATATTCAAAACATTCGGCAACACAATTCATTTTCAATTCGCTTCCATGTAAATTATGTATAAATCATGCAATTTGCGAAAAAACAAGCTGTGGAAAATTCACTACTCAGCACTCACAACACTCGTGCCGAGACACCAAACGCGTCACAGCGAGCAATTCATTTGACTTCTTCAACTACCTAATATCACTAAAAGACTATATGTGTTAGCTTTATGAACTTCTAGCATGATAAATTCACTGCAACTGGCCCGCAATTTCACCAATCGTGTTTTCCATCTATGAGTAGCTCAAACCAATCAATAAGCTACCAATTACAACCTATTTGTAAATTCATTCGGTTCATCAAAAGTTCCATGGATTCTCTTGATTTTCTTAACCCTAGTATTTCAACTATTAATCTCATCCCAACTCTTCAAAACAATTCATAATTTAGTTTATCCATATCATATAAAACTCAAATCAAATCTATAAATTTTCGATCAGAAAAATAAGTAAAAGATTACCTTGAGATCAATTTTTCAAAGGCCTTTGACAGCTTGTTGAAGTAGGGAGAAAAACGATTGATCTCAGTGAGTATGAATAATGAGCTTCATGGATCCCAAAAATGAGATTTGGGTTTAGGAACGACGGAAGGGATCAACAGAGGTTTTTTTTGCCTCTGTGAGGTTTTTGCGATTCTTTTTGTGAGAGAAAGAAATTATGAGGTATAAGGTATAAGACTTTAGGGATTAGCCTCCTTTTTATACTGTACAGTCCAGCCGTGGTCCGCCCCCCCCCCCCTCAAACTATTCCCTTTTATTTTAAATATATGTTCCTTAGCACTAGAAGTTCTTCACATTTTCTGCTAGCATATATTTTTTTGATAATTAGGTAATCTCCAAGAATCAGTGATGCACAATTTGAAACTTGGTCGTTAATGGGGTTACTCCTCTACCCTTCTCCACTTAAATACAAGATTTTGTGTGGTAGGGTTCAAATATACACACATCACGTGCTATATAGTCTTACCAGTCTACTAACATATATATCAACAAGAATACTAAAAGACTCCTATTAATATTGACCTAAAGTAAATGTACGAACATGACTAAAACTTAATCCCAACTAATTGATATTGCCTATATGGATGTTTCTTCCATTATATCTATTTTTCTCTGTTTATATGGATTTCAAGAGTTTGTAGGTCTTTGAGAAAGCTTCATTCCATGCTACTTTAGGTTTACCTAGGTCCCTTTTTAACACCTTCCACCATCATGATTTCACATCATGCATTTGGAGCTTGACATAAAATATGACCAACCCATCTCAATTGACCTCTCGTTTAATGATTTTACCGTTATGTTTGTTGCTCGCACCTTCTAAAATGTGTATTATCTTGTCTAATTGTGTATGGTTGCATATCTATCTTAATATTCACATTTTTGACACACACATTTAGTGGATGTGTTGGACCATAGAGGTCCAACATTACCCCTATATAACATTGCTAGTAAAATGAACTTTTAATAGAACTTGCATTTCACTCTGACAGTTATCCTTGTCTGAAATAACACTTCAGTGCCACCTCTCCTATTCAACCATTCTATTTTGGTTTTGTGTTACATTTTCATATTTTTTGATCAAGTAAATGTATTTTCATTCATAAACATGTAACAAAGTGACTGATCTGTTGTAAACTAAGTGCTTAGCAATTTGTTCCAAAAAAGTGTCTGAGGTCTAACCTGTCAGTATGCTTATAGATCAGCTTATAATTCAGAGAAGTTCACTCTGAAGTATTAGCTTTCTACAACAATAACTTACCTAGTGTAATTCCACAAAAGGAGTCTGGGCGGGTAGTAGCTTTCTGTTCTAACAAAATTTGTCGGTTACTACCTGTATGTAGAGTGATAGTGTCTTTATGAAATCCAATAGTAGCTGCTTAGCTCAAGTTTGGCCATTGATTCTGGGAGTAGATTTTAAAAAACAAAAAAGAAGATTGAAAAAATAGTTTGTTCATGGAATTTGGTCTGTTTTTTAAAATCAATCTTCGAAGATCAAACTGGTTCCATTACCAGGTGAAAACACAAGATCATGGAATTTTGAAGTTTTTTCAACAAACTTCAAAAACTCTTCTCCTTTGTTTTCCAAGTTTCAACTAATTATATGTCCAAAAAGCTAGTTTAATTTCAATTCATAAAAGAAAACAATGCAGACAATAAGGAAGATTTCTAGGGAAGCTATTTAGCATAATAGTATCCACCAATGCATCAGCTAATAGCTTAATATATTACTCCTAGTCTTCTTCCACTAGTTTCTATGTTGTCTGCACACAATACCAAATAGCAAATATGCACCCAAGGATGTGACTTATTGGTCAATGAAGTGGGTTGAGCACCGTGAGCTCTCAAATTTAAATCCCAGCATAGACAAAACAGGGCAATTTCTTCCTATCGGTTTTCGTCTTGGTGGGCACATTTACCCAGTAAGAGGTAACTGGCATGTAGAATTAGTTTAGTGCTCGCAAACTGAGGCTATCAAAAAAAAAGAAAAAGAATACCAAATAACAAATATATGCAAAGAGATCCTTGACCTCAAGGATCTAAATGAGGAAACCTTGTCATCAATGCATTAAAGAAAAATTCCCAAATAGCATGATCTGCTGATTTTTGCTTCGAAATTGAACTCTGCTTTGACAAACCATCAGCTTAGAAGATCCTTAGCCATAATCCTCTCAGGCGTTTTCTTACCTGCTCCACCAAGGTTAAATCCATTTTCACAATATTCATGTGTCTATTGAGAAATTGATGGCTGCAAATGGTCGTCCATTCTGCCCATAAGATGCAGTCCCTTCAACTGTCAGACTTGTGTTTCTGAATAAAGGGCCAGGAGTGTGGAATAACATAAACAACTGATTGCCTCCATTCTCCTTGAGATCCTCAGGGATAGAGTATAGACTAGAATCTCGATAATTGATGGCTTCTAATTGTGCAGCGATGCAACAATTCACAAAGCAATGCAACAATTCACAAAGTATGCATCATGGTCACTATTTTCATACTCAATTATATTACTTTCTCGTTCTCAACAACTCAACCCACACTTGTGCTCTTTTCTCTGTAATTAGGCCTGGCCTTTCTACTGTCACTAGGAAGAATGATTTCTCACTCTCTTCGACATGACCAGAATTTTGACCCAAGTTTTCATATCACTCGCAAAGTCGAACCATAAATCACAACAAGTCATGATCTTAATAACAATTAAATCAAAATAAGCTTTTTGCACTTCCTTCCAGACACTATCTAAAGATTTTATATCCCTATAACTCTCATCGTCAAAGGAAAAACCACCCGTGATGCATATTTTCAACATCGCTCTCATTATCCATAAAGGACGCATCACTAAACAAATCTTCACCACACTGCCACTATATAGACAATCTACATCTAAATCTCTTTTTAGGCATTTCATCGAAAACCTTGCAAGCATATAATGTCTTCTTCTAACTAATTCAAGTATTTGCTAACTGCTCCTAACTAATTCAACAGCCCTCATATGGCAAATCAGTTCACTTTTGTGTAATAATATATAAAATTCAGAAAAAATAGAAAAAAAGAAGTGAACTGAGAACTAACCGAGGAAGCTATGAACGGAGATACGACTGAAGAGTACAGACGAACAGGCGGAGGGCGCCGGAGAGCGGCAGTCGGCAGGTAGAAACAATCAACGGCAGCAGCACAGCGAAACGGCGCCGTTTTACTGTGTACAAGGTTTAAACGTAAATGTTAAATCCAAATCAAACTGTTTCCAAACGACGTCGTACATTTTTTGAGGAAAAAGAAAAGAGAAAATTGTATATAATAGCAAACTAATAACCTAAAATAAATGGAGTAGCTAGGGTTTGATTTAATTGTGCTCTATAGCAAACGTTAGCCAAAGTTTGTCAAACACCTCTCTCCCAAATATCTCGCTCGTCACTCTCCCACTGCTCGTCTCTCTCCCTTTATATACAGAAGTGTATAAATTATGTTTCTGTTTTGTATAAAGCGAAAGAAAATTGTATATACACATGCAAAAACGTATATGTTCTTGTTATAAACTTAATTATACAATTTACAAACATTTTACTTCAATTCAATTGTAGACAAATGCAAATTTTATACAAATATTGCAGAGAAAAAGGCCAACGAATTATACAATTGTGAATTATACAATTGTAGTGAACTACAATTTTCTCTAGTTTTACACAACAAAAGTGTATATATTGTGTTTCTGTTTTTGTATAAAGCGAGAGAAAAACATATATCTTCTTGCTATACGCTTATAATTATACAATATACATATATTTTAATTCGATTCAATTGTATGCAAAGCAAATTTTATAAAAATATTGCAGCGAATTATACAATTGTGCATTATACAATTGCAGTGAAATAGGATAGCGAATTATACAATTGCAGCGAAACAGGCCAGCGAATTATACAATTATATATGTATAGCGAATTATACAATTTTATATTTGCTATGGAGCACAATTATGCAAATTTTGCTATAGCATACAAATATGAATTTTTTGTATGATATATGTGAAAGTTGCCCCAAAAAAATCCCAAAGTAATATATCTCAAAAATAAATAAGGCAAAATGTCTGTGATTACTCAACAAATAAATAATTAAATCAATTAAGTTAAATTTTAAGAATAAACAAAATTTTAAGGGAGTCTTACCTAGATAAACTAGAAAACCAGTTAATTAAATAACTAAAAGAATGTCTACAAAAGTTATAGATCCTCTTTAAAATTATAGGAGATATGACCGAGCTGTTATAAAGGGTACGTATCCTGTTAAGGCATGAATCAATAAATCTTATTTGAGGAATCAATTAAGGCGGTTCAACATGATTCGAAGCATAAAGCGAAATTTTAATTAGATGCCTAAAAATTAAATAAATCTTATTTGTATTTATTTATTTTTTCTAATTTTTAGATGTGAATTATTATTTAATATCTTTTTTATAAATAATTTTTTTAAATACTTTTTTTAATTATTATTGTAACGACCTGTTTAGTCGTTTTGAGCAGCAGATTTTATTTCTGGAAAAACAGGCTGAGACGACGGAACCCACGACGGATCGTCATGGGCACGACGGACCGTCGAGGGGTTTCGTTTCAAAACACTTAGAAATTCTGAAATTTGGGTACTGAAATCGACTCTCTGAACTTCGTGACGAAAGTGCAGGACGGACCGTCACAGGCGTGACGGACTGTCACAGACTCTTCAGAGAATTTCAGTCTCTGAACTCTGTGACGGAGCAGCAGGACGGACCGTCGCAGGCACGACGGCCCGTCACAGGTTGCGTAATCCCAGTCGGAGTTGGATTTCTGGTTAAGTTTTAAAGGGGCGTTTTGGACTATTCCTGCTATAATTACATATTTCGTGGATTTATATTAATAACTCAATTTCTTGGGGGATAAAAGAGGTAACCTTGAGTTAAATTGTGGGTTATTATTGTCATCTTTTACACTTAATTACATGTTAATTAGGGTAAAAGAAAGAGGGTTTGAATAAGAAAAATAGAAAGAACAAAAAGAAAGAGAGAGAAGGGAATCGATAGAGAGAGACGCTCGAGAAGGGGAAAAACACA